CCTACAGTATTGCTGGAGTGAATCATAGAATCCCAGGCTGGAAGAGACCTCAAGGATTATCTGGTCCAAACTTGCTTGGCAAAATCACAGTCTAGACAAGACCATGCCTGAAATAAGTAATTGTGAGGATCCTGGGTAACTTCTAACTTGTGTTTCAGACTTTGAGGGTGACTGCCTGCCTAATGGGGCAGTAGGTTTCCCATCCCTTACTTTTAAATGAGCCTTGACTTCTGGGATCTTCCATCAAGCTCTGACAAGTGAGAGATGAGCTGGGTGGCTTGCCACTCTGGTAGCACCAGCCAGGCTCTTGTACCCATCCCTGTGCTGTGGACGTGCATCCGAAGCTAAGCAGGCAGCAGACCCAGGTTTTGTGGGTAGGGCTTTTTGTTTGGCTCACAAGGGTTGGGTTATGGTCCATATGGCTTATCACTTCCAATGTTCCTGGGTATAGCAAGGACCTGGAGCACTGGAGATACTTTGATTCTCTCCTGCTCCTTCTGTATTTTTGGTCTTTTTGTATCAGTCTGACTCAGCCAACACACTTCCCTTCATCATCACCCTAAATAAAAGGCAGACCTGTTCAGGAGCAATCTGTAGGTTGAGGGCTGTGGAGCTGTTTGGGTGAGGGAACCTTGGGCTGGGTTTCTTCTGTTTGTGAACTCTTTCAGGTTAACCTTTATGAGATGACTGCCTGCAGCTGTGGGACATTTGTACTCTGGCCCCTATGCTCGGCTCCAGGCCTATGTTTGAAATAATTATAACAGCTTGGGAGCAGCCTTGAAACACCAACATTTGTAGACAAAATGTACTTCTGGGCTTTCAAAACAAGTCTAAACCATCCTCAGTTTTGGCTGCCTTCTGGATATTATCTTAACTTTGATCCTGGCCAGGGCCGCTTGCTGAAGTCAAAGGTACTAAACAAATGACACAGCTCTGGAAATTCCTCATTCTCATATGGTCTCACTCCTGGTCTTTCTGAAGAAATAATTTTATGTGATTTACAGAAGAGCAGAGAGTGTTCTGCTGAAATGTCAAGGATGTCTCTGACTCTTACACATTTTCCTCCCCCTTACAGGATGGCCGTGCAGCCTCAGCCGTCCTGGTCAGCGCCATGTTCTGTTTCTGTCACCTCTTCTCTAATCCAGGCCCTGCTGTGCAGCTGCTCAACACAAAGAGACCTGGGATTGTGCTGTGGCCATCTCACAGGAGGTAAAGTACCCTGGCCAAAGGCCGTGTTCCTCACACTAAAACCTGCCCAAGCAGGACTTGTGCATCAGCCACAGCTCTTAGCTTTGATACATCTTAAACGACATTTCTGGCCACTTCCAATTTACCCACATTGATACAACAGTAATGGAGGAACAAAGTCAAGTATTACAATAGATTTGTCCCTGGTTCAGGAAAGCTGACAAACTTGTAGTTAACAGGGCCTGGGTGAACCCCTCTCTGAACCCCTCTCCCTATGTCAGCTTCATCCTTGCAGGAGTTTACAGTGTAAAAATGTCTTTTTTTACAATGTCCATTAAGGAGAGGAAAAAATGCCTGTCAGAGCAAACCTGGGAGTGTTATGTATGTAACAGTGACCCTTCAGTACAGGACTAACAAAGTAATTAATCTGCTATGGGTGTGTAAAATAGAAGGTAAACTTCTACTGATGAACCAGAAAAAGAATGCTCAGCATCTTCTTTCCTAAAAGGTGAGGGGAAGTGATCTTCAGCTCAGAGCTAAAGGCCAGTTTCCTTCCTCTTGAGCTCCAGCTCTTGTAATTAAATAAAAATGGGAGCATAGATTTTGTGCCACTTTTAAGGATACTGAAGTACCTGGAAACTCCAGTCCTGGAACCATGAAAGGACTGCACTTTCACTGGATTTCAAGATAGACTTCAAGTTCAGAATGAAGATCAGTTCCCTAGGATGGAGATGTCAGCGGTGGCTTTCTCTGTCTGCAGATACATAGGATACATTTGTGATCTGATAGCAGACAAGCCCATCATTCCTCACTGTAAACCACTCACTATCAAGTCAGTCACCCTCAGCCCAGTTCCCTGTTTCAACAAGCAGCGAAACGGGTGCCGGCCCTTCTGCGACATTCTCAGCGGGGAAACCAGGATCCTCACCACTTCCCAGGAGTATGAAAGAATGAAGTGAGTTGCTGTGATCTCCTCCCTACCACCCTTAGCAGCTTAACTCAAGGGGGCTTCTGTTTTGCTGTAAAGTGTCTGCTCTCTGTGCTGCAGCCCTTGTCAAACTGCCTGAGAGATGGTGTGCATGTATTCATTAAAAGCTGGTGCCTAGAGGGAGTCTGAAGTTGCCATGTGGTGGGACACCTTCATAGAGATAGTCCAGGGCTGTCTTGGTTTCCCCTGTGAAAAATTTCTGTTTCAGCTAAGCCTAACATGAAGCAGAGCACTGAATGCACTTTCTGCTTGCTTGGCCTGAACGTGAGATGGCAGCTCTTGGTGGTGGGTGGCACTGGCACTGTGGAGGGAACTTAACTGGATTTCCTTCTCTTCCCCTCAAAGAGAATACCGTGTGCAAGAAGGGAAAGTCCTAATCCCACTGGGAGCCACTGTCCATGGAGATGTTGTTGTTTCTGTCTACCACATGAGATCAACCATTGGGGGACGCCTTCAAGCAAAAGTAGGAGTTCATTCTCCTCTTAATTTGTTATTGGTTCTGTTGGCTGTAGAGATGAGACTTCCCTGGAGCCTCTGCTGAAAGTGAAATGGCCTCATTTTCCTGGGGTACAAACCTGTAGCTCTAATGTGTTTGGTGTGAACAGATATGGTTTTGATCAACTTCTATATTTGTTTACAATTTAAAACTTCAATTTCATGAATTTCTGCACTTGTTCAGCCTGGTGCTCTGTGTTTTTTCAGATGACCAACACACAAATATTCCAAATTCAGTTTCATACTGGATTCATAGCCCTGGGAACAACCACACTCAAATTCACCAAGTGAGTATTTGAAGCTGAACGCTAATCCCACCTGAAGCATAAGAGCCTGCTGAAGGAGAATATTCACGCGTGAAATGTGCCAAGACCTTGATAGAGCTTTGCAGAAATATCCTTTCCCTTTTAACTGAACAACTCCTGTCCCCATTTAGACCTGAACTGGATGCCTGTGACTCTCCAGACAAATATCCTCAGCTCTTTCATGTTATACTGGAGATAGAAATACAATCCAATGATAGACAAACGGAATTAACTCCCCCGTGGGAGAACTTCACAACAAAAGACATCAATCCAACCATTCTCTTCTCCTCTCATCAGGAGCATCAAGATACTCTTGCTCTGGCAGGTAAGAGCCACACAGATTTACTCACTGAATTTACATATCTATCTGAGTGTTGGATTTCTTTATTGATTTGGTGCTTTGTGCTGCAGGTAGAGGTCCTAGTGATTCACCCCAGGATAACTTGAGAAATGTTGGACAGAGTGCATTCTTCTCTTCTCTCAGCTGGCAAGGTATGCAGACTTGGTCTTCAAAGTAAAATCTGCTTTGAACAAGATAAACAGCTTTCCCCTCCCTCCCTGGAGCAGAGAGTCAGGCTGAAGGATCTCACTGTAACATGTCTTTCCCATTAGGTCACAGGGTACTGCTGGTCACACCCTGTTCTGCAATTGAGAGGGAATTAATTTCCTACAATGTCCTCTTCAGACATCTCCTGCTTATGCTGGACATGATAATTACTGACATTGTTCTGGTGTTAAGCTTTGCCCTAGGCCTCCTTGATGCTAAAACCAAAATTAAGCTGGTTTTTCAAAATGTTGCTCTTTATATATAGTGAGAGCTTTTGCCTGAGACACTATTTAGAGTACTGAACACCTTGAAAATCTCCCCGTGCTGCTGCATGCAGGGTTCCTCCTCCATGCTTGGTAGGAACCTGATGGATGAGATCCTTGTGGGCACAGCTAGGAGGGTGGTTTATGTCCTTATTCCTTTCCCATGAGCCTTGTTTTGCCTGGGTTTTGAGGCATGGCTGGAGGTAATTCTGGATGCTTGGGCCTGACCAGAAACTCATTCAGCTGATACCTGTGAGCATTCCACTGCCTGAGTCTTTAGGCTTGAGCAGAGTCCCTTAAACTCTGTGCTTCCTGATCCATAAAGACTTGAATGTAATCTTTGCAAAGGACTCTTCTATTTTAAAATCCAGCAAAACGCTGCTGTGGTTTTCTCTGTAGTTTTTTGTTTGGCATGTAAGCTGATTTTTACAGAACCTTTGTGATGACCAAACTAACAGCTACCTAATTTTATTTTTGATCATCATTTAGATCAGAAATCTGACAAAAGTAGCTCTCACCCCACCTCAGAGGATCGAGCAGCGCTGGTGCATGAGGAAAGCGAACAGTCAGATGACGAACTCTTGTCCCTTTCCAGTCAGCACAGTAATGCCAGTGGTGACAAGCCTCATGGGACACCAAAACACAGCAAAAAGCAGCAGGAGCCTCCAGCACCACCTCCCCCTGAAGACGTGGACCTGCTGGGCCTGGATGGTAGCCCTATGAGCAAGAGTTTTCCCTCGCAGCCTACTGCTGCCCCTTCTAACTCAGACTTGCTGAATGATTTGTTTGGGGTTGGTGGGCCAAGTTCCCAGAGTCAAAGTGGACAGCCTGCTGCTGAGGAGGTCTTCCACGTTGGAGGACCTGGATCTGTGCACTCAACTCCTCGACGTTCTGCAGCTTCGGCATCCCCATCCCCGTCCCCACGGGTAGGAGAAGGTAAGAGTGGCTATGGCTACTGCAAGACTTGGTGGGGCACATGCTTTGGGGAGCCCACCTGGGTGATCTGCTCTGAGCAGTTGGATTCTCTTGGAGACTCTGATTTCATCAAAACTAAGAGCTGTGAGGGATCTTGAGAGGCTGGCCAGCTCCTTTGCTTTGAGACAGGAGTTGGTGCATCTTCACAGTCAAAACCACAAACCAGACTATCTAGTTTGTTCCCTAAAGTCTCTCCTGGAGCTTGCCCAAGTGTCTGGCTCCTTATGCTGACAGCCACTGCAGAGCATCGCTTTTGCTTTTACTGTGTGTCCAATAATGCATATGAGGAGAATATGTATTTTAAAAAGCTTCTTGGGTTTTGGGTAGACCCATAGCAGTTTGAATTTAATTTCTTTTTTAACTTAAAGGAGTTTAGGGCTATGATGCTGACCCTGGACTATGAAATATGGTTCCCTCTGTTTCTAGCCTTTCTGCAGACAAGAGAGAAAATACCAGATCTACTTCTTCAAAGGCAGGTTGACACCAGGCTGGCAGAAGGAGTAGCTAAACAGACATGAGAAAGGGATCTTTGGGAGGACTGAGTGACTGGAGGAGGGGAAGTGAAAAATCCCTTGTAAATGAACACGTGAAGAGCCCAATCCAAGTTGCTCAGATTCTCTGAGGGCCTCTGGAATAGTGTTGCCAAAGGGAAAAAGGGAAACAAGTGGGTGGATCTGGCAGCAGGTCTGAAGGCACTGCACTGAGCTGCGCAGCCTCCCTGTGTTTGGTTTGGCCTAATCCTTCACATTAGGGTTTGAGAGCTGACATTGTCCATGTCTACCTGATTCCAAGAGCACAGGCTGCTTACTTAACATTTGCTCAGCAATTAAGAAATTAAAGCATTTGCAATGCGTGCCAACTGTCCTGTACAGAAATTGCATGTTTTCATCTTGTTCAGGAGGTGCAGGCTTGGTTGATGCTGGGGCTGATATGGCTGGTTGAGACACACCTTACAAGGCAGAGATGCAGCAGCAGGAAAAGGTTTCTGGATTTTGCCATCAGGCCAGATTGGTGCTTGAAAGAGGAAGGAAAAGTATCCTACAGCTCAGTTGTCCCAAGCTAGGAAAGCTTGTGAGATAAATGAAGAGTAGTAATTTATTAAGTAACCTAAACAGTGAGTAACACAATGAGTAGCATCATTAACACAATGTGTAGTGTCTCAGGATTCTTTCTTACAGCAGTACAGATCACATCTCTGTTCAATGTGCTCATCACCCTAATGCTGTTGGCAAGTAAGGATGTGAGTGACTTGAGGGGTTTCTTTTGGTTGGGTTTGTTAGGTTTTCTACATGAAAGACAGTAGTCCAAACAAATTGATCAAAAATGGAGTTTGGAAACAACTTTGACCTTTTAGCAACTGATGCTATGGAGGAAAGATACCAGTTATTTTCTACAGCTGTGTCTGAAAGATGGTCCTTTTACCTTGACATGTGTAACCCTTGGCAGACTAAAATAATCTTGGACAGTGTTCAGCTCCTGAGAAGAAGCAGGAATTGTGCCAGTGTGGTAACTCTAAGCTCCAGGCTGCCCCTCTCCATCCATTTATGCACTGGCAGTATGTGCAAGATGAAACTTTATCTGAAGTGTCTTAAGTATCAAAACACTTGCTTTGACTGCTCCAAAATTCAGTCCCTTTCCTTGGAAAAGACAGATGGGATCAACAAATGTGTTGCCATGACCAAACCATGTGGCTCTCTAGGGTAGTGGTACTTTCCAGTTATTGTCCCACAGTCATGCTGTCTCCTGTTTGGTACCTGCAGGTACAGGTTTTCTTCTCCACACTCCAGTGTCTTTCCCCTGAAGCACATTAATTATACAACTTAATGAGTTAGTTTTCTCAAATATGTTTTTGCAGCAACTGCCTTTGATCCATTTGGAAGTAGCCCTAAGCAAACTGGTCCAGACCTCCTGGGTTCCTTTCTTGGTTCATCAACTGTCCCTGGTGATCCTTTCCTTCAAGCAACAAGAAGTCCTTCACCAACTGTGCACAGCGATCCCTTTCACATGGGTAAGAAAGTGAGGCTCTTCTGGTGTATTAAGTAAACATGAAATACTGCCTTTAAATAGTGATGGAGCCATTAAGGACAAGCTGCTGCTTACCATAAAATGAGACTAAACCACAGAAACCCCACTAAACAGGAAAGAGCTCTTTTTTTTTTTTTTGTCTCTAGACTTAAAGCATATTCATGATTTGAAGTGTGGTAGGATGAGACTTGTTTTGCTCAAGTCTTATCCTTAATTAATAAGCTATTTGTATACATGAAAAAAGAGACCATTAAGAATGTCTGCCTGCATATTCCTGTGGTTATGAGGTCTCATTTGAACCACACTGCCATTAATTGAGCTAAACAGAGCACAGCATGTTAAGCCTGCTAGAGAAAACTTAAGTCCTTTGGTAATTTTAGTTACAGGCATCTGCTTTCTTTACATCTGATACTAATCCCGACCAAATTCACAGCTGAATTTTACTCTTATTTGAAGAGAAGGATTTTTTTCCATTCTTATTGGACTTTTTTCTTCTCTTCCTTTGTTTGCACTGTCCCTTAGTTGCCCCTTCTACTCCTGCACCACAATTTAATGCTGCAGCCTTTCCTGAAGCACATCCAGATACAAATTTGTGTCTGATCATCTAATTAATGTCCCTTGGGTGCAACAGGCTTGCTGAAAAGCCACAATGACAAAGGAGGGACCTAATGTGCTGCTGGCATCCTTGCTTTGCCCAACTTGAGTATCAGATACTCCATGAATAAGATGTTTGGGTCATGCTTGGAGCTGGCTGCACTAATGAGAGGAATTTAAATGGTATCCCAGCATGAGGAGGTATTAAATGACAGTCCTAGTGTCTATGGATAATGAAATGCTGCAGGGTGAACGGCATGGATCTACAGGCTGTGTTTGAGACAGGCCTAAAGGAAGGACTGTGTTCTTTCTCATTTGTATTGGGGGAGGAGGCTGTTGTGCTGCTGCCTTCTCTTTCCTTGCCCTCTGCATGTAGAATATTCCTTTGGGTTGAGTATTCAGAAATGCTAAATTTGTGTTATTGTGGTGGTAAGGTTTTTAGAAATAAGTACATAAAGCCTCTGACTATAAAATGACCACTGTAAACCTGCATCCTTCCACCTGAGCTCTGTATAGTACTAGAACAGAAATGTTAAATTTGTGATGCCTATTGTGAGGGAGAACTCAACCCCTATTAGCAAATGGTAGAGGGACACCATGCTGTCTCTCCTGCTCCTTTCCCCCTCTTCCTAAATGCTGGATTATGTTGGTTTTGCTCTGCTGTTTTGAGATATTTATACGCAACCATTCTGCTTAGCTTCTAGCACACCAACAGTTTCCATACAACCAGATGTTTCCAGTGGTTGGGACTGGCCCAACAAACCAGGTATGTATTATAAAAATGCAGAACACTTCTCAAAAACTCTTAAGGAACCACAAAAGAGGAGAGGCAGATAGAAGATGCGACCAGTGATGGCAGGGAATGTGTTCCCATTTTCTGCTACTATGATACAAAAAAAACTTAAATCAGGATCTTAGTCTCATGTCAGTTGTCTGGTCTTCCAGTCATCCAAGTGAGGATCTTATTAGAGACTACTGAACTCTTTCTGTTCAAAAATCTGAGTTTCCTCCTTCAAGAAACAAAGGCCTGAAGCAGGACAGGTGCTTGGTGGGGGTATACAAAGCTGTGCTTGGAGAGGCAGATAGAAGATGGGACCAGTGATGGCAGGGAATGTGTTCCCATTTTCTGCTACTATGATACAAAAAAACTTAAATCAGGATCTTAGTCTCATGTCAGTTGTCTGGTCTTCCAGTCATCCAAGTGAGGATCTTATTAGAGACTACTGAACTCTTTCTGTTAAAAAATCTGAGTTTCCTCCTTCAAGAAACAAAGGCCTGAAGCAGGACAGGTGCTTGGTGGGGGTATACAAAGCTGTGCTTCATGCCAGTGAAGAGCCAGATAAACCTGGGAAGTGCTATGCTCTCCTGGGATGCCAATGAGCAACAGCATGATTCTTTCTAATCTTTAGAGTGTATATATATCCTACCAAAAGCTGCTTCCTGAAGCCTTCTATTTCTTAGTATATATAACTGCCATAATTGCTCTGTCACCACAGTCTAGGGAATGTTTTTGTTGCTGAGCCTGTGGAGTGGGTGTGCAATGAGTCTGGGCCAAGGCTGAGTTAAGACTGCTTAGGAACCTGACAATAGTACACTTAATTTTAACAGCAGTCATCTATCATGTGACTGAGTGCTGGGTAAGGGCTGCACTTGGGTAAAATAGAGATAAAAACTGAGTTATTTTCTTTTTTTTCTCTTTAAGGTGGTTTAGGCATGGGAAGCAAGTCTGCTGCCACCAGTCCTACAGGATCCCTCCATAGCACTCCCACTCATCAGCCTAAACCCCAAACACTGGATCCATTTGCTGATCTGGGGACTCTTGGAGCAAGTTTAGCAGGTTTGCATCCCTCATTTAATAAAAAGCAACAACCAGGTTGCTCTGCTTTAGAGAACTATGATGGACAGCCTGCTATGCAACAGAGCCCTATGGGTCCTGTCAGCCTGCCTGCATGCTAGTGCTGCTTTTGTTTCCCCTCCTGCCCAATTCTCTGCAAGTTCTCAGAAATCTGTGCTTTTACTGGTCCTCCATCAAAAAATCTGCTAACAACTTGTTGGGACCTTTACTCTATGGATTGCAAAGCGTGACCTCTGTCTCATAAATCCAAACAGTCCCTGGCTAAGGATGCTCTGTGTTTAACTCCAACTGCAGAACTGTTGCTGCAGCCCTTGGAGCAGTGCCTGGGAGGAGATTGGCTCTTCAGAGCTACTGAGGTCCTTGAGGAATTGTTTCCTTCTAGTCTTGACTAATTTTTGTCTTTTATGAGGAAACCTGTGGAACCTCACTAATCTGCTTCTAACCTGCAGCACTATCTAAAGTTGGAGTCTGAATCCTTTTTGCACCTAGCTACAAAGGACTGCTTGCTTGACTGCTTAGACAAGATTTTTCTCCTTGTTTTATCTCAGAAGATGATCAGCAAACCCTTGACCCCTGTGTTAGAAAGGCAGCTATGACAAATTATTTGCATTTTCCTTAAAACCCAGCATGTCAGCATCTCTGATTCTAGTAAATAGATTTTTCTTCCCTTTGTCAGGGCCCTCAGCTCTTTGCAAGCCATTGTGGTTTGATCTGATGTTTGTTTTCCCCCTTTGCGTCAGTACCAGCATGGTTTTGGAATCAGGTTTCCCAGTTCCCTCTGCTGGATCTCTAGCTGCTCTGCAGGAGCAAAATAAAAAGTATGCCAAGTCCCATGTCAGAGCCATCGAGGTGCTTTTAAAACATGTATTCTGCAGCAAAGTTATGGAGTTTGAAAACAAATGACTTGGCACCCACAGGATATTTAACCACATTTCTGTTATTCCTGACTAAGTCAAAGGAACTTGATCCAGTTTCCATGACATGCTTCAGGGCTCAAAGTTGAGTGTGAATGTTAGTCTCAAATAATAAAACATGAACACTGTAAACATCCCAGTGCAAACTGAGCCAGAGGAGCCTAAAGGAATAAGGTGCTGAAACCCACAACTCTGTGGGACAGTATTTACATCAACACATGGAAGTAGTATTCCAATATATCTCAACTTGATGTTGCCACCATAGCACACAGCAGCTCAGGTTCCTAGTCAGCTGCATGTAGCTTTCCCTGTGTTTCCCCAACAAGCAACTACTCCCATTCCTGTCCAGCCTTCCAAGGCAAGGGCTGTCTTTGGAGCCTCTTACAGAGCAGTGACAGGAAAGTTGAAGGCTTTGCTTGATGTTGCAAAAATAAGGCAGACCTGAAGATAGAAGTCAGCTGCCTTGGGATTTGTTCAAAATCATAGAATGGTTTGGGTTGGAAGGGACCTTAAAGCTCCTCAATCTCCTCTCTTTCAACTTGAAACCACTTCCCCTTGTCTTATCACTATGTGCCTTTGTAAAAAATCCCTCTCCAGCTTTCAAGCTGTGTTTCCAATCACAGCCTGATGTCTGCAGTGTTTTGGGTTTAGTTTTGTTTCAGTTAATGCTTGAGATGTGTCCTGTGAATCCATGGTGCCAGCTGAGTGTTGCTGCACTCCTGCCCCCTCAGCAAGGGGGCAAGAGTGCTTTTTTTAAAAAGAAATGTAGATATAGTGCTTAGCAACATGATTTAAGCACTGAACAGGTCAATTTGGCTATGGTAGGGGGATTTAGGTTGTGGTTGGACTTGCAAATCTTCATTCAAGGTCCCTTCCAAGCATGATGATTCTATGATTTTAAGGGTTTGGGTTCTCTTCCAGAAGGTAAGAAGGTTTGCTAATGCCCACCCTCCCTCCTTTCCCCCTGCTCCACAGGAGGCCCTTCCTTTGCCAGCAAACCCACCACGCCCACGGGCATGGGGGGCGGGTTCCCCCCGTCTCCGCAGAAGCCCTGTCCCCAGCCCCTGGGTGGCAGCGGGTGGCAGCAGCAGGGAGCTGGCTATGGCTGGCAGCAGGCCCAGCCCAAGGCCCAGCCTCACGCCTCACCCCAGAACAAGCCCAACTACAATGTCAGCTTCTCAGCCGCGCCTGGCGGGCAGGGCGAGCGCGGGAAAGGACCAGCTACCGCCGGTAAGATGCTGGGAGTGCCTCCTGCTCGGGTGGCTTCGTGCTCAAACGCCTCCAGGGGTAGCCTCTGAGCAGCTCAAGTCATGCCCACTGCTTGAGGATATATCAAGTTCAAAGCTAGTTGTCCTGTCCGAGAGTCTAAAGTGTACTAGTGCTTAGGGAATGCTGGATTCTGAGTGGGCTTCAAGAATAATAATGATATAATGTGAAGAATGACGGGACATAGAGGAGATAGCCTGAAGTTGCCTAGGGGAGGCTTAGACTAGAGATTAGGAAGAATTTCTTTACTGGAAGGGTGGTCAGGCCCTGGAACGGGCTGCCTGGGGAGGTGGTGGCATCACCAGCCCTGGAGGGATTCAAGAAGCACGTGGATGTGGTACTTCAGGGTGTGCTCTGGTGGGCATGGGGGGTCTTTTGTGGGTTGCGTGGCTGCGAGTTTGGGGGTTTAGGTGGTGTTGGTTTGGGCATTTTTATGGTGTTTGTTGTTTGGTTTGTTTGGGGTTTTTTTTGTTAAGGTTTTGGTTGTTAGGGTGGGTTGAATTGTTCTCCCCCCCTGCTGGTTGTATGGTTAAGCTAGGTAATCTTAGAGGTCTTTTCCACCCATGAGGATTCTGTGATTCTGCATTAGCCTCTTGTGTGAGAACCTACATAGCACTGGGATGTTGTTACAGTGATAAGTGTGGGGGTGGCTCTGGTAGCAAAGCATTCTTGAATTAACCTGTATAGCGAAAGCAACCTCCAATGTTTTTGTTTTTCAAGATTCAAAACCAAAAGTGTCTGCAGATTTTGAAGACTTATTGTCTGGTCAAGGCTTTAATGCTCACAAGGACAAGAAGGGCCCCAAAACAATAGCTGAGATGAGAAAAGAAGAAATGGCTAAGGAGATGGACCCTGAGAAGCTAAAAGTAAGCAACATTCTTGTTTATGCTCTTAAAAATAATTTAGTGTGTCTCTTGGTCTCCTCATGCTCAAATCACTGTCCCTGGAGTGGAGAGGACAGTAAGTCACCTTCCTGCACGTGATAGGCAGCTGAGCAGATCTTTCAGCTAATTTAGTGCCAGATGCTGTCCTTCTGCTTTAGCACATCCTCCCCAGCATTGCTGGATCCCAAGGACTACGTGCTCTTTCGCACACTTGCTTTCCATAAAGTAGGAGTCTAAACTTGATGGCACCATTAACTGCTCTGCTCCCCTTGCACATGCCAGACAGCAGCAAGATGGTGGGACCTGAGAGATGATCATAAACTGCAGGTTTATCTGCAAGAATCTCCACTATCTCATCAGAATAAGAGATGCTACTTAGAAAAAGTAGTGAGTTTGTTAAAAACCTGTTCAGAAATAGCTTCTTACAAATAAACCTGATAAAAGAGCTGGTAACATCTCTGCCAGACCTTCTGTCAAACCCAGGTTTTGGTGACATGAGGGATGTTCTTCCCATGATGAGGTTGCCTTGGGGCAGAAAGAGCTTTCTGCTGTTTGTTCATATAAGAAATTTTCATGCCTTCCCTGGAGATGTGAATACCCATTTGGACAGATGTAAAACTCCAAGGTTACATTTCTGTCCTAAACCAGACTTGCTCAGTGCTCCTGACAAAGGCTGCTGGTCTTCCATGTTGCTCCAGCCCTGATTAGCAGGCAGAGCTAATTGAACTAATCCTCTGTCTCATTAATCTTGCCTGCTTTTGAATTCTTCCATCTCTCAATAAATTGTCAAACTACAAGTCTATTTATGAAGGGAAAGAAATTCAGTCTGTCTGCATTTGAAATGTGAAGCCACAAACTAATTACAGAAGGATACAGAGTGAGAGGAAAAGCCCAAGCAAACTTGTAGAAAACAGAACAAGTGAATATTTTTGTAATATTTTCCATCTTGTGGAAAGGTTTTAACCATTGGAAAGTGTGTGCTAGCAGCCATGTGGGACATGAATGTCAGCCACTCATAACCAAGCTGAGCTGTCAGGCCATCATCTCTTGCTTGCTTTGGCTGCTGGATTGCAGGTAGCAAATGGGCACGTGGAGAGAACGCAGGCTTTTGACTTTGGAGCCTCCAAGGATTTGTGTTCAATCCAACCTCCAACATGAGTCTTTAGAAGACTTCAGTTGTGCACAAAAGATACACATCCACAGCAAAGTTTCAGCTGAGCTTATTTTAGGCATATGATTAAGCTTGCTAAAGAGCCACACAGCTAAATATTTATCTAATTTTACTTTATCTTGTTCCATCTAATGACTGTTCATAAGTGTTACCAGATCAGTATTTTTAGCAGGGATGTTGCTCAAGGTGAGTCTGAGCTTTCAATCAGTGATATAAAAATGAAAGACAAAGTTGAGACTGACAAACATCTTCCAAAGGTTTTCTAAAGCTTGGAAAGAAATGTAAGATGCTCCTTGGAGTCACTGCTATTCAAATGAAGAAACTTCATGGGGTATCGAATGTCAGGCATAAATTGAAGCTCACATTCTTCTCTCCAGATCTTGGAATGGATTGAAGGGAAGGAGAGAAATATAAGAGCCCTGCTGTCCACAATGCACACAGTCTTATGGGCAGGGGAGACAAAGTGGAAGCCAGTTAGCATGGCAGATCTTGTCACGCCAGAGCAAGTGAAGAAGGTCTACCGGCGGGCAGTGCTTGTCGTGCATCCTGACAAGGTAAGGCTCTCCTGGCTTCAGAGGGTTCAGGCACTGTAGTTGTTCTCTTAATTATAAAGTGGTACGTGTAAGTGCTTAATTTGTTGGTGCAAACAGCTCTGTAGAGAGTAATAGTTTGGCATTTTCACTGGTTTCTAAAAGGTGAGACCTCTAAGCACTCTCAGCCCCAGGTCTGTGCTTGGTACACGCTGTTCCAAGCAGCAGAGAATCAGATCTTCAGCTTCTGTCACCCTTGCTTTGACTCTCAGCCCTACTGGTGGTGAGAAACAGTCCAGAATGCTGTGCCTGCTGAAGGAGACCAGGGTGGGATAAAGGCTTATGAAAGGATAAGGGACTTAAAACCAGGCTTCTAAAATGATTATCCAGCTTGTGGTCCTGCTGCTTACACTTGCCAGTCAGAGGGCAGGGATGCCATCTGGGAAGCCCTGGGCTGATGAGGCTTCTGCTTCTAAGGAACTGGAGGCCCTGAGAGCTTCAGGGCAGTGGGCAAGGCTTGAGAAGATGTGGGCTGCCCAGAGGCATGCAGGGA